CCCAGATAAGGCTAGAACTAATCAGATCTCGTTCTTAGGGCACTTAAGAGTCCTGAACACATGGAATGGCTTTTTGTGGTATCCTCTAGCAGTTAGTATGATTAGTATATACTATATGTTAAATATGTGTTTTAAAAATTGAATTAAAAACCCAGTCACCAAATTAGGTACTCAAAAAAAAAAAAAAATCAGCTGTGTTTGAGGGTCTGCTTTATTATACATAACCCCAAATGAGATCTAGCTAGAAACTGCTTATTAAGCCTCTTTATGCCACATACTACAGGGTTTCAAACATATTACAGGGAAGGAGCATATGTTCAAATGCCTTCGTATTTTTCCTGGGCCTTACAGACATGTCTAGACTAAGAAACAAGACAGCACCCTTGGTCTTTCTACTAGGGCAGTTACCAAGTAAAGGACACTGCTCATCAGCCACTTCAGTTTCTGGGTGGCTTTCCTGGCAGTCTATACCTCAAAAGAGACTTCCACACCTGGATTTCAACTTCTGCCTCATTACCCACTTCCATTCTTCCTCTCCCCAGCCAAAAGAATCTTGTAGTTTCTTTATCTTAGGTCAATGACAGCAGGGATGCCACCATCTTTTCACAGATGTGGGGTAGAAAGAGAAAGGAATCTCGGTAGTGTGGCAGTAAACAAATTAGAACTCTATAAGCCACAAAAATGGCTGCTCCCCACTGGCTTGGAGGATCTAGAATGGCCCCTACAGTTATTCTAGAATGGATCTAAAGCCTCCCTGAGCAAGTAAACAGTATGACAAACTGAAAGCTCCAACTCCAACTGCTGGAGCATTTTGCTGACTAATCATCAACACAGAAGACAAATGAGACATGACTTTGTAATTAGAAAGAGAACATATATAAAGATAATACAAAAACCACCATACTTTCTGGATCAACTTCTTTATTTGACTTGACCCTCTTATATACTCCAGCATTCAGAGCACTGGCTGGGACTTCTGAGACTTGTCAAACACTGTAAGGGACAGATGCTTTGGCAAAGCCTCCTACAAAGACCTTTAGAGGCCTAATTATTAACTATCATACATTTGTAGACACAGAAGCTTAAGTCTTCATGAGGTGGCTGGTTTAAATGACGAAATGAGGCCTTGCCCTAGGGTAAAAATGACACCATAATCTTGAGAGGTAGTGTTTCAACTTGTTAAAATGACAATTCCTCACCTAGATCAGAGAAGGCAAACTGGAAAGCTAAAATAAATTCACATATAAAATGTTTTTGATAAACCATCAGAATTGGTAGTCATGTCAATGTCACCACACAATACCCCCCAAACACAAAACAAAAGAAAACAGGTACAGATGTACACACACACGCACACTATGCTGTAGAGAAGCAAGACACTGACATCCATCAGACATGCACAATTCTGCCTTGAAGCAAAAATCTTAATCAGGTTATAAATCGCTCTCCTATTACTATGCACACAGTCACTTAATCAAGTGTTGAACCCCAAGCAACAAAATATAATTCATGTGCTCAGATTTAAACAATTCTTTCTTCAGAGGGAAAATGAATATACAACTAAGGCCTGCATCTCTGGGTTTGTAGTTTTCTGAAAAAATAAGAGATATGTATCATACCATAGGCTTACAAAAACAGTCTGTATTCTTAACAAATATGGAAAATTTTCTTCCTTAGCAGTCCTCTCATCCCCTGGCGTGCAAATCCTTTCTAAACCATGGCTCCTGCTTTATGGAAGACCAAGTCAAATACTCATTAAACACACATACTTACACGGGGTAAGGACAGGTGAGCCAGGATGTGTTTAACAATCCCCAGATACTAGAATGAGGGGAACCCCTGGTTACTAGACAAGGATAAGGAAAAACTGGTCACAAATAGGATAAGTAGCATATTTACAGAACTTAACCTCGAGATGATGAAGTCTAAAAGTTATTTTCATTCATTGTGACACTTCCTTAGCGTTGGGAACTTTACATTACATTATTTCACTTAGTCCTCACAAGAACATTCTGAGGTAGAATAGCAACTAATATCATTCCCATTTTAGATATTTAAACCACAACTTGTGTAGATTCAAAATGGGTCTTTAATGGATCTCCCTTAGCACCTCTGTCACCTACAGATTCCCTGACCACTGGAAATGTACCACTGGTATAACAGAAATTATCAAAATCTTGCAAATACCACAAATACAGAGCCACACACTGCCATGATGCAACAAGGCATAAAAGATGCATACTGGTAACCTGGAAGTCACTGGATTAAGAGTCAGAATCTGCTACATCTCCATACCTTATACACCTCTGTGACTAGCACTGAATCAGAAACATCAGATATTGTTCCATTTCTTCTACTATTAGCTATTGCCTGTGTTTTTCTGGCCAAGTTTCTCATCTCTAAAATGAAGCAGCTGTACTTACTCCACAGGAAGGTTGTGAAGATTAAATGTGACCTTGTATAGTACCTGGCATCAAGGAAAAGTTTCTTTCCCTCTTCCCAGTCTGGTGCAGACAGCCAGTAAATACCGTAATAATTCAGAAGGAAAATGCTACTATGGGATACGCATGGAAAAGTTCCCAGGAGGACATGGGATTTGCACTTAGCCTCAAATATCCTTTGGAATCTGTACTGCTAAGGCAGGTTTCTGCTGTAGGGTGTGGGTGGGATGGCTCACAGATGGCCTTATGAGAAAGCAGCTGAGGAACTACCAGGTAGCACATACACAACAGCATTCTTCCATACAACCCTGGGTAAGTGGGTTCAGAATATATCATCTTCTTGATGATAAAATCTGAATATATATCAGATGATATACTCTGAATATATCAGAATATATCATCATATTCTTCCTTTTCACCATAATTATCATGTACTGTTTGCTGTTACTTCCTCATATTTCAGGCATATAGAAATTTCCATCTATCATCCTTCCCCAGTACTACCCTCAGCGCCATGGTAAAGACAGTTATTGACAAAGAGGGTCTGCAAACAAGTTTGCTGATGAGATCAAGTCCATGGGTTCCTATTTTTCTGTATGTTGTATTATCAGGACTGTCATCCTTCTTACTCTTACTTCCCTTCACAGCAGTAAGTGCATGGTTTAGTTATTCTTGATTACACTTGATTATTTCTGAGATCATGGTCAATCACTGAAATTTGGTTAAGCAGTAACTCTTAACAGTAGCTACTCCCATCATCATTTGGCTAAAATGAACAATCAACAGACAAATGGGTAGAAAGGTATCACAATCAGCCAGCATTTTACCAGCATAGTAAGTTATTGTTTAACACAGGTAAAAAAGGGACTATTCTGCAATCTGCAAAGCTAAAATTCATATCATTTCTGAAATTTATTCTAGAATTTTAAATAATTAGTCAATAATAAAAGACAAAGCCATGTCAAAAAAAAGTAAAAATCATAAACATATATGTTACTAGTTTCCAAAAAGTTGGAAATCCGGGAAAAGCCATAAGGTCAAACTACTTTTGCTGCTTGTTATAAAGCAGTTAGTAGTTCCCACAGGAAAGATTTGAGCCCAAACACAATAGCTCCACCACATCTAGCATTGCTTTTTAAAGTTTATACATGAAAAACTAGTAATTTCAAGAAATTTCAATATTTAATTCACCCGAGTTTCAAGCTCATGCCCCTTTATTCCCTGTAAAAGTGTCATCAGGTAGAGCCAGTCCTCATTGGAGCAAGATGTCCTGTTAGGAGACGTAGCACCTTGGAGGTAGCCACTGTCTGCTGCTCCAGTGCTCTGGTCTAAAGGCCAGTGTGAAATCTCAAAGGAGAAGGATTCTCCTCTGACTCATAGTGAGTTCTAAAGTCTACAGCTAGAAATCTGCGAAAGGGTGGGAACATTTTTTAAATCCACTAGAGCAAATTTAGATCATGAATACTGACTTTATTCCTTAATTTATAAATGACATATATCACTTTCTGTGTATTAAAAGTTTCCAGTCATGGCCATTAATTTGGGAGAATTTCGAATCAAATACTACCCAGAGAACAAATGTGAAAATAAGATAATGATGAATCATTTCTAATCAAACTAAGTCAGACTTATTCTTCCTTTTAGTTGATGTATAAGACTGTCCACAAAACAGTCTGGCATCCTTGGAGAACTACTCAATGAGTTATCTGTGGGGCTGTTAAGTAATCCTCTATCTGCAAGCAACAGCGAGCACCTAGATGTCATTTATCGATTACCTGTGACTGGCTTTAGCACAGACAGGTTGGTTACTAAGTAAAAAACCCTGTGGGTGGAAATTCTGCTCTGGGCATGTTTAGGTTTTTACATGCCTCTTCTCCTGTCAAATTAGCTATAATAACTTGCCATCAACATATTAAGCCTTCTTTAAGGATCTGTCATTTAGTTTAGAGGATGTCTTTAAAATGCATTATATTTCTATAGCAATTTAAATTACTACCTTCACATTACTTTTCTTACTTCCATAAATAAAGTATAAGTGTGTTCTTTATTCAAAAACAACTACTTGCCACAAAAATTGCCCTCTCATGTCCTGCTTCCCAAAAACATAACTATTGGAAGGCCATATCCTGCTTAATGGGCCAAAATAATAAAAAAAAAAAAAAAAAAAAAAAAAAGAAAGGCCAGGAAGAGCCAGGATGAGCTTGTTCAGTTTCTACTAAGACTAAACTTAAACTATAAACCTTCATTTAACATGGGTATTTATACTGCTTCAAGTCTCAAAAGAGAACATTACAATCCCCAAAGATTAAATCACTTGTCTCTTTTAAGAGTTATCAGAATAACATTATGCTGAAAGTGACAGTCTAGCTCTGTTCTGTTTGCTAATGCAGCACAGACTCGCTGGCCAACTGCAAATGGCTGTAAGTCCTTATTGCAAATAAAACTATTTTTATGCCATTTCTATTTTTCGCTTAAACGTCACCAGCTCTTCAAGACTCAGGACCTGTCAAGTGTTCTGTTGCCAAGACTCTGCCTGTCAGAAAGGTCAGCATCTAGTACCTTCCAGTTGGGTCCCAAAGGGCCTCTCTTGGTCTTGACTGACTGGAATAATGCTGGGTCTTCATCAGCTTTGTAGTCCTGCAAAGCAAAACAAAGTCAGAGGCAGAGAAAAAAACACAGACAATATTCTTTAACCTTACCAGAACAGTTCTTTGCAACTACCAAATCACACACCAGAAACCAATTAGACTTACTGTGCTTTTGTGTAAAAGTAGGAAAATGCTTCCACACGACATTAAGTTTTCAGTTTGGTTTATTTTGCTTTAAACTTTTACCTTATGCAAAACAACTACACAGTAAATAATATAAGTCTTGACTAGAATCCACTCTGACTGGTTACTGGACAGCTATCTCCAAGAACGAATTGTCCAGTATTTTTCAATTTTTAGCATTTTGATGTAGGGATAGCATTTTGATATAGTTGCTAGAGAGTAACTACTGTGACTGGGAACACAAATCACAACGACTGCTTCTGAGGCATCCTCCCATCTCTTCTACAGTTGGGTCTGCAGTGGACACCTTAATTTCTTGACCAGCCTCTCCGAAGCCTTGTTCACAGAGCCATGGGGTGCACATAACTTGGCTTCTTCACGGAAGAGAGAGTGCATTCATGTCAGCCCCTCGCTGTCAAAGGATGTAAGGGAGGGGTGCCATCATACCACAGGGGAATGGCCCTAAAATTTCAGGTTTTATTCAAGGTTCTAGTACATGTAAATTCTGTTTCCCTTAGCATCTTCTTCCTGACAGAATGGAGGACATAAAAAAGTAAATCTTTTTAAACCTATCTGCTTCATAGAAGTTCTTTTGTCATTACAAACAGACACACACATGCACTATGGATAGAAATAAAAAATTACTTTTGAAGAGCTAAACCTCAGATATTAAAAAAAAGGTTGCAACAGTAACTGTGGACAGAGGTCAGCTGGTCAGTGTGAAATGCTATAAGGAGAGAAAAAGAGCCTCTTCCTCTTGAGCAGACTTTCTGAACCGGGGGTCCTTCACGGCATTGATGAGGGGCCCACGTGCTTTGGGGAAAACACCCAGACAAGTCAGATCTGAAACTCTGGCTAAAAATCACTGTTCTAGGGATAAGGACGATACAAGCACAAAGCAGGAACTGAACAAGCTCTGAAGTACAACAAACTTTTCACAAATCAAAGAAAACATGTTGAGAAGCACCCACTCAAGACTCAACAGCTCCTCAGTAAATGCACACGCATGTTAATAATTCCTAAAGAGAAAGTTACAAACAAATTATGTGAGGAAGGAACAATGTGAGGTCCAGGAAGAGAACAAAACTTTAAAGAAAGATAACTGGGTAAATATGTGATCCTGAACATGAAGCCTGCCTAAAGATTATCTAAGAAGCTACAAAAAGACCCAATAAAGGGCTAAAATAATTAAACAAACTTAGCTGGCCACATGAGGTCTTTACGCTTTAAAACAGGGAATGTGGGCCGGGCACTATGGCTCACGCCTGTAATCCTAGCACTCTGGGAGGCCGAGGCAGGCGGATTGTTTGAGCTCAGGAGTTCGAGACCAGCCTGAGTGAGAGCGAGACGCTGTCTCTACTAAAAAATAGAAAGAAATTAGTTGGACAACTAAAAATACATATATATAAAATTAGCTGGGAATGGCAGTACATGCCTGTAGTTCCAGCTACTTGGGAGGCTGAGGCAGTAGGACTGCTTGAGCCCAGGAGTTTGAGGTTGCTGTGAGCTAGGCTGACACCACGGCACTCACTCTGGCCTGAGCAACAGACAATAGAGTGAGACTCTGTCTTTAAAAAAAAAAAAAAAAAAACCAATACAAATAAACAAAACAAAAAAACACATGGAATATGTAGCCATAGGCATGAGGTCAGTCAGCTTACCCAAGAACAATGAACTGGGATGAGCTATCTGCAAAGAGCCGCACAACTGGAGATACTTCATATGTCTGGGTGCATCAGCAGAAAGTTCAATTACTGTCAGCTAGTATGAATCCTTAAATTCCAATTTTGAAGTGCATCCTAAAAATTAACAACTTCAATTCTGACTGACAAAAGGATCAACTGCATAGGGTGGTCTCAAGACCTGGATTCACAATGAGAAATAAGCTACTTCGGTAACATAAATAAACGTGTAACCCCATATAACATTTTCTTCTAGGTCAGAGGCTTGGAATTAAAACCCAAAGACAAGCTCACTTTTCCCAAAAACTGAAAATATTTAACATCCTATCAAATAATCACTCTGAGCATCATTTTTCTCAATCAAAATCTATTTATTAAAACAGCCACCACATAGAAGGTAGCACACAGGATGTTACGAGGTAATCTAAGGAGTCAGAGAAGGGAGAATCAACACATGGTCCTGGATCCTAAAAAGGCAGTCCAGTTGGTAAAAAGAAGAAAGGCAAACAAAGAAAAGGTAATTAAACCCCCAGGAAGTGCACGTTAACTGCCAAAAGAGAATGGAGAGAATTACAGTCAGAATCAAACAAAATCAGCCAAAGAAATCAATTTTTTAAATGAATTTTAAAATGGTGTTTAAAAATAGAAAAATCTTATTGTTAAGGTGCATTGTGTTAAAAAACATATATATATTTAAAGACGTAGGCTCTGGTTCTGTCACTCAGGCTAGAGTGCAATGGCATTATCATACCTCACTGTAACCTTGAATTCCTGGGCTCAAAGGAATCTCCTGCCGCCTGAGTAGCTGGGACTACAGACACCTGCCACAACGCCCAGCTAATTAGAAAACGTTTTTTTTTTTTTTAGAGATGTACTCTATGCTTCCCAGGCTGGTCTTGAACTCCTGGCCTCAAGTGATCCTATCATCTTAATTAATTTAATTCTAATAATGCCCAGAAGCCTGCCCAGTGCCAGTTTATTCCTTTTCAGGGGAAAATCCCTTTTTTCTCCTTGACTGGGGTGTGACACTGGTATGGGCAAAACACTCAAGTGTTTTCATTTTTTGTTTTCGTGGCTGTTTTTTGTTTTGTATTTTATTATTTTTTAAAACAAAATCTGAGATATTAGGTAGCAAGGATGAGCTGAATAGTAAGTACAACATTTCCTAAATCTAAGAAGTCATCAGATATAGGGTGCTTTATTATTTTATGTACCATTAAGAAGGAAAACAGCCAATAAAACATGCCATAACTGGAAGAGAATTCTTGATTCTGGATATATTAAAATAATGATGGGGGGAAAAGGGAGTAGGATTTTAGAACTGATGATGTAGACTGAAGAACTATCTATGTGGATTTTAAACTTGCCTGCTCCAAGGGGAAAAAAAAATTCATGAGACAAAGTATACACAATTATCACTAGCACTAAATTAGGAAGAAAACCGATGACATTATACAATAAGGGTAGTACATAACAAAGAAACAACTAATTTGAGAAAACACAGATTGATCTAAATTTTGGCCAGCATAAATTATTCTTATGTAGGGGTAGATTAACAGGCCAAAACATGATTATGGCAGCAGTGAAGGTGACAGTATCAGTGGATTAGATGGACTTCCTTGACAATATTTCTTTTCCTTCCTAAGCCCAGCTCCACATCAGGCTGATAGCTTTAGGGATATTCAATACCTATTTGACATAGATTAATTAACTAATGGAACAACACTTCAAAACTTTTCCACTCTGGACCTGTTCCAAAATATATATATATTGTTCTAAAAAAGTATATTTCTAAGCCTTCATTATCAGTGCTAGTCATTCACTGAGACACTTTTCTAAACTGTGGATTCACAGAATCACAGAGGTGATCTGAACCTTAAAGACCACCCAAGCCCCCTCATGTTAAAGATGAGGAAATCACCCTCTGACTCAGAGGTGGTATGACTCACCTATCCTAGCACTTCAACTCCAGCTCCCTTAGCTCTTGCCCCAGGCTCATTCTGGTACACCACACAGGACAATGACAAAAGGTGTCAACAAACTCCAGATAATCAACACACATTTCAAAAACCCAAGAAGCTGCAGCTCCAAGGATATCAGAATGGATATTCCTATGAGGTACAAGTGTGTGTATATAATATATTATACCCACATATATGCATATATGAAACTAAGTCTTCCTCCTCTGCTTTTTCCTCTTGAATACAAAGCAGCAAACATTAAAGATATACTGAAAATGTAACGAAACCTAATTATTAACAACAGCACCTTAACCTTGACAGATGAGAAATAATGCATCTTGTCAAAACCTAGGAATTTTTGTGTTTCAAGTTAGTTTGAATACGTAAATGTTTAATCAGGTGAATTAAGTGGCAAGATACTAAAAAGCAGGAAGCAGATGTAGTTTTAACAACCCCAGTTTTGTATCTCTACAAGAAACATTTAATTTTTTGAACAGTATCTTCTTTGCTGCAATTTCATTGTTGGGCATCTAGTTTGGTCTTTCTGTATGTGAAAACTGGCCGATTTATATCCATATCACAATGAACAAATATATTCCTTCATGTATGACAGTTTCAGCATACAGAATGCAACCTCAGCTACCAATTATAGCTGCAAATGAGCAGTAGTGTGGAATGAGACAGCCTGCTGGCTTTGTTAGTGTTCTGTCTCCTTTGGGACCCCGTGGGGAAAAGGGAGGCTCTGATGAAGAGAAGCCCTTGGCTCATGGTTTATTGTGCTCGCCACCAGCTGCAGACTTCTCATCTCATTAGTTCCTTTAGAATACTGTGGGTGAAGACAGCTGTAGCCTACTTGAGTCTTCAGCTCCTGGGTATTCTGAAGGCTGAATTTGCTATGCACTTTCTGTAATCCTTGGGAAAAAAAAAAGAAAGCAAATTCACTAGGCCAAGGAAACGCATTTTAAAAATGGGTTTTAAATAACGTTTAAAAGTAGAAAAATCTTACTGCTAAGGTGCATTTGTGTTTAAAATTTTTTTATGATTCAATTTTAATTATCTATATAATGCCCAGAGGCCTGGCCAGGGTAAGGGCTTAGTAAAACCATCATTATCAAGTTAGGTATAATATCCCTAGACATTACTTGCTCCACCAATAATAGTGCCTGAACAACGGAAAAATACAATGGTATCAGCATAAGGTATATTCGGATTAGTGTTAATAC